GATTATGAAAAAAAAAGTTTTGAATAACACATTTGCAAAAATGTTTGGTTTGAATGTGAAAATAAGGTGTTATTTTAAGTAAAAACATTGCATAAATCCGGCAATAAATCAAATCAAATCAAACCCAATTCTAAAACCTTCAGCATTTGGACAGGAATGAAACTGGAACATTTGGTGAAAAAAACCCAAATTTTTAAGAAAACGCCAGAAAAAAACACATTATGTACATATTGCAATAATTCATAGCCAAATTGGGTACAACTATGACGTGATATCTCCAGGAAACTCTCCCAGTAGATTACTTACATTAAGACAATAGTATCACAAGTCTTCTCAATTTGTATGTTTAGATATATATCATACATGTGTAAATTAGGCATTAACTAATGCTAACTTTGGGTGTATTTTGGATATTGTCATGCAAAATATCCTAAACTTTAAAATTATACCAGTGCATGAAAATGATTTTGCCTTCAGTATCTCGCGAGTGAGTGTGTTTTCTCCTCAGGCACATGTGTTCTCAAACCAAAGACTTACTGAGTAACAAAGGTCGTGTGACCATGGGATGTTCAAGCTGAGTTGAACAATGACCCAATGACCACACACACACACACACACACACACACACACACACACACACACACACACACACACACACACACACACACACACACACACACACACACACACACACACACACACACACAAGGATCATACACATTGAAATAATATCATTTAGTTCTTATCTTCAAATGAATGAATAGTCAGTTAGATAATATAGCTTCAGCAATTAGGGTGGGTAACACTTATTAGGCCATATATTATGAGAGGGTTTGAAGAGATCCAGCATGTTTTACCAAAAACGTTGATGGCTTAAAAAGAAAAAGGGGGGCCGGGGGGGGGGGTTCGATGGATTGGTCTAATAGCTGGATCCTGGGATTAGTGGTTCATTAGCTGTTCTCCAGCCTCATGGGAATAAAGATATCAGGTTCATCCAGAGGAGGACCCCCACAGGTCAGTGAGTCTGCGAGCCGTTATATATTTACATTCTGATTTATTTCATTTTGAATTGTCAGAATGGTAACTGTATTCCCTTGCAGTTACATCAAGAAAATATGTAATCAGATTGCTGTTACTATTTAAAACATTGGGAATTACTAGCAGGATTACAGTGTTACTAAAAACCTAGAAAGAGCATATAGTGTTTGTTGTAAAAGGATCAGATGTTTTCTCTTCTCTGTCAGCTGTACTGTTCTGTAGGCTAATACTTTAAGTGTGAATCTATACGCCTACTGCCTGAATCTGCTTTATGGTTTTCACTTTCTTTGCTTCATTTGTTCTGTTTTTAATTCAGCAGGTGAACCTATATGTTCATAACATAGTGTGTGTGAGCTTAACTGTGTGTATTAAACTAAAACGGAGCATTTTCTCTCAGCTCAGATTTTATTTCTGCTTTTTTAAACTGTAGTATGTGCTCATGTGTTTCAGTGTTGGTGTTTAAGCTACTGCCTGAATATGCTGAATGAAAGGCAGCTTTACTATAAATAAAGTCTCTGAGCAGAGCACACTTTTCTGATCCTAAATATCTTGATTTCTTCTTTTTAAGGTCACATTGTTCTGGTGTCTTACATTATACACTTTAAACATCTTATTTAAATGTATTTTCTCTTATAGTTATCAGAATCAGAATACCTATTTTCGTCCCAGAGGGGAAATTTACATTTGTTAGAAGAGAAGAGCCAAAGACAACTTAATGTTAAGAAGCATGCATAAAAACTGTTTTAAAGATAAAAAAATAATAATTAAAAGATGTACACAATTACACATCCTGTAACAGTTCTGAAGATGTAGCAGCCAGGTATATATAGCACAGTTATTTACGGCATAGCCTATATATATATGTTTTTCAAAAATCCACGTTCTGAACAGCTCCATTGCTGCAGTGTGTTCAGACAGTGTGTGCAGCTGCAGCTCAAAGAGGCTGAGGGTCAGAGCAGATCTCCGGGACTCTGTGAGCCGCTGTCCGCGGTGCTGAACCTGGAGCCCCGAATCACATCCAGACCTGAGGGAGGCCAGAGCAGGGGGGAGCCAGAGCAGGGGGGAGCCAGGGACCCGGGAGGGAATCCAAGACAAACAGGGGAAAGCAGAGAAACGTTAATGCACGGGTTCTTAAATGACGACACAGCTCTGAACCCTGATACAGCCGAGAGAGGAGAGGACTTTATTCATGAATTCATTCTTTTTTTGGGACGCTTTTTTATTATTCTTTTTTTCATTCAATTAATGCAATGTTAATAACCTACAACGAAGGAACGAGAACACGAAGTTAGTTGGAGAGGGAGGGCAGAAAGCAAAGCTTATAAAAAAAGAAAACAGCCCTGTGAGTAAGCAAAGTATATCGTTTCGTTTTTGGTCCAAGACCTCAATTATTATAGCGAAATAACAAAAAGACGTTATAATAAATGCTTTTAAATACCGATTAAAAATAAACAATAAAATCAAGTTTCATTGTAATACATTAACGATGTCACGTGGGGCCGAAAAAAATGCAGAAAATTAGAGAAAGAGAAAAAAAACGTCATACAAATACATATACAGATCAAAATACAATTTATTGTAACCATCATTATTTTTGTATATTAACCAAAAAGCTGGTAATTCAGTTTTTAGTTATAAGAATTAACGGTTAATTGAACTATGCAAGTCAATTTTGTTTCAAGCAACGTAAAGCAGTGTTTCACAGAATGAGAATTAATTAATTGAGATGTGTTTGATGTTTAAAATATATTAATTACGGGGGAATTAATGAGTGAGCACGCGGGGTTCGCCTCCTCCTGGTGGCATGATGGGAAAGCGCACCCTCAATTATTCATTCAACATTAACACTATCGGCAAATTGCTTAATATGAGAGAAAGAGTCATAGAAATGCTGCTCTGATGAGAGGGTTACTGTTTTCTGTCATTGTCCTTTATTTATCTAGGCTATATTTGTTGTCACACATTTGGAGCAACACAATAGATCATAGAGACACAATGAGGCTTGTGTGTACAATGAAATGTAAAAATCCGAAAACGTGTATAGAAAAATAATATGTACTTTTTAATTGGCTATCTTGAATGAGGCTAAATTGCGCTGCGTAAAAACGTCAGACTTGCGTCAAACAGAAGTAATAAGTGGATGTTTATGTTGGTTGGAGGTGTATAATTGATCTGAAACAGTTTGAACTCCTCTGACTTGTGTCGGTGTGATGCGCCTCGGGCTGCGGCGCACCTTCCGCCTGACTGCAGCTCTCTGCAGAATCACAGCACGGCACTTTGCATGTTGATAGGCCTATAACACTTTATAAATCATATCAGCAACCATCATTGTTAATATACATGTCTGTGTAAAAAGTATTAGAACTAATATACCACCAATACAAATGACCTCCAAAAACAACAACAGTACTAATGAGGATAAAAGCAATAACAAGGAGATGTAACTGTTAAATAGTTCCAGTCCACAAATTGGACATTCTTACTTTATTATAATAAATATGATAATAATTGTATGACAACAATATATAAAAGTATATTATACATGTCTGTTTAAAAGGTGTTACATTGTTATTCCCTCGAACAACAACAACAACAACAACAATAAGAAGAATATGTGTGTACAATAATAATAATAATATAATAATGATATACATTATAACAACAACAACAACAACAAAAAGATCAATTACGACACACAAATATGAATATAGGCTACATGTGTTTTAAAATTCTTAAAACAAATAAATGATGTCATAAGTGATGCACCACAACCACCAATAATTACAATTCCTTCCAAAAACAACCACAACAATAATAATAATGATACTAAAAATAATAGGAAATAATAATAATATTAATAAGCTATTTAATTGTTCCAAACCACAAATAAAATATCGCTTGAATATGTCTACTTTATTATTCTCTTACAATAATAATAGTGAATCCCTTCAGTTAACTTTCTCCAGCCTACTTTAAACAATGCCGTTCACAGTCAGACAAAAAAGGTACGAGGGAGGGGGACAGAGAGAGAGAGAAACCAAAAGAAAACAGAATATGTGGTCACTGTACGAGGGGAGACTGAGACAGAGATGCACTTCCTCCTGAAGTGTGAAACATTCAACGAAATAAGGAACATTTACTGTAACAAGTTGAACTCTGTAATCCCAGATTTCAAGGAGGTTAATGACCTCTCAAGACTGAGAGTACTCCTAGGAGAAGGAAGAAGAAGAAGAAGAAGAAGAAGAAGAAGAAGAAGAAGAAGAAGAAGAAGAAGAAGAAGAAGAAGAAGAAGAAAGAAGAAGAAGAAGAAGAAGAAGAAGAAGAAGAAGAAGAAGAAGAAGAAGAAGAAGAAGAAGAAGAAGAAGAAGAAGAAGAAGAAGAAGAAGAAGAAGAAGAAGAAGAAGAAGAAGAAGAAGAAGAACCTTTATTAATCCCCCGAGGGGGAAATTCAGTTTCCACTCTGTCATACAGTACACACACATGCGTTTGTATACAGGTACATACACACAGTACACACTTTTTACATCATGCACATACATATACAAATACACACACAGTTATATGCACACATGCACATACAGTTGAGAGGTCAGAGCGGAGGCAGCCAGTCTAGCCGGCGCCAGTGAGCAGTTGGGGGTTAGGTGCCTTGCTCAAGGGCACTTCGGCAGACAAGGCACATCTTGCTGCCCAATATGTATACACATGCCACAACCTGAGGGACAGTGAATGAGACACACACACACACACACACACACACACACACGCCCCTTTGAATTGAATTGAGAGAGAGAGGAAGAGAGAAAGGGAGAGAGAGAGGAAGAGAGAAAGAGAGAGAGAGAGAGGGAGAGAGAGAGAGAGGGAGAGAGAGAGAGGGAGAGAGAGGGAGAGAGAGAGAGAGAGAGAGAGGTGGGTAGAGAGAGAGAGAGAGGTGGGTAGAGAGAGAGAGAGAGGTGGGTGGAGGAGGAGGTGATGGGAGGAGGTTGGGGTGACACCCTTTGCAACAAACCTGCCCACAGTAACAAAGCACGGAGGGGCCGTGATGCTGCGCTGTTTGCGGATAAATGACTTCACTGTGCGGCAGGGCTTCACAGCATGGGCAGGCTGCGGACACACACTCTCCCACACACCGTGGATGTGCTGCAGACTCAGTCTGTGCTTTGGATTTTTTTCAGTATAATTAGAAAATATTCTAAGGTTGAAAATGTAGTTTCCCCATTCAGGGAAACACGTTTAATATTCTGGAAACATCCGATTTTTTTTAGATGAACCAAGGATAGAAGCAGGTATTTCATCACCTCCTGATTCAGCAGAATGTCATATTTGTTTACATATAAATTGGCCCATCCTATTTCAATTGTTAAATAAATGTGCTTTTATCATATTGTCCTGCAGGATCCCAAATATGGATTTGACTTTGGAGGGGATTAACCCGGCGAATGCACGAGCCCTGCTGGTGGGGTGTCTAACCCTGCTGTTCTCCCTCCACCTGTGGCGCTGGCTCCGGCAGCGCTCGGCCCCTGGCCCCCCCGGCCCTTTCGCCTGGCCGGTCATCGGGAACGCTCCGCAGCTCGGCAAAGCCCCGCACCTGTACTTTGCGCGCATGGCGGAGAAATACGGCAACGTGTTCCAGATCAAACTGGGCTCTCGCGCGGTGGTGGTGCTGAACGGGGACTCTATCAGGCAGGCGCTGGTGAAGCAGGGACTCGACTTTGCTGGAAGACCGGACTTCACCTCCTTCCAGTACATCTCCAACGGGGACAGCCTGGCGTTCGGCACCATCACGGACTGGTGGAAGGTGCACCGCAGGGTGGCTCAGTCCACCGTGCGCATGTTCTCCACGGGGAACCCGGACACCAAAAAGACTTTTGAGCACCACGTCCTGTGCGAGGTCAAAGTGCTGCTGCAGCTGTTTGTGAAGAAGACACAGGAGCTGCAGTACTTCCAGCCCCTGAACAACCTGGTGGTGTGCACGGCCAACATCATGAGCGCGGTGTGCTTCGGGAAGAGGTACTCTCACGATGACGAGGAGTTCCAGCAGGTGGTGGGCAGGAACGACCAGTTCACCCAGACCGTGGGGGCCGGCAGCATCGTGGACGTGATGCCCTGGCTGCAGTACTTCCCCAACCCCATCAAAACCATGTTTGATAACTTCAAGGAGCTCAACCTGGAGTTTAACAGGTTCATCGGAGACAAAGTTATCGAGCACCGGAAAACCATCCAGTCGAGCACCATCAGGGACATGACGGATGCCTTTATTGTGGCGATGGAGCAGATAAGCGAAAAATCAAGGGTCTTATCCGGCGGGAAGGACTACGTGCCCTCCAGTCTGGGGGATATTTTTGGAGCGAGTCAAGACACTTTGTCAACGGCACTGCAGTGGATCATCCTCATTCTGGTCAAGTAAGCACTCTTTATTATCATAGGCTATAGATCATTTTAAGGTTGTGAACTTTTAGGTGCTTTTAGGTGACATTCTCCTTGGTTACTAAATGTCAATTAAATGTCAATTAATTAAAGAGTGCTAGCAATGATGTGTTTTTGTCGGCAAAACCGAAATGTAGCATCACCTTCATCACAACATTTCTTTGTAGAAAATAAGATCTTTTCAAACATATGTTTATTATGGCACATATTGTTCAGATGTATAACTTTCATAAATAAACATTACCATTATGATTGTTTTAGCAAATATGCAATCGGCCAATAAACGCAGGCAATAAACGCAACAAAAAAACATGGTCACATGACCTAAATGTCTCGACCACAACACTTAAGTCTGTTTGTTTGCGTGTTTATGTGTCATTGAGCCACTATGGCATTGTGATAGACACTTAAAAGCTTCACAATTCACAAGTGGGGTATATCCTAACGTATTTTATATCCAACTAAACGTTAATATCCCTCTGGCCCCCACATTGCTCACCTGGTATATCTGGCACTGTTGCTTCAGTTCTGCTGCAGCTGAACTGAGTTTGTTTCAGACCCAGGGACAACTTTGGTATGTCATTTCCTTGTTCTCCCCCTTACCAAACATATTTCTAAAAATGATTTAAGTTAAGCATCCTACCAAAACGAAAGATTTTTGGATGAGGGGACCAAAAATGCAAAATTGCTACTTCATTCTCCAGTCCTTTCTGTCTACCCCTTTCAAAAAAGAAAACAAATCATTTAAGTTAAGCATCCAACCAAAACCCATAAAAAAGAAAAAAAGATACCGAGACGAGCGATCAAAAAGTGCTAAATTGCTAACCCATTCCCTGGTTTTCGGACTCAGTCCTGCAGCCCTTTATGAGTGAACCCTCTATAACTGTGGATATCACATTAAACACAGCTCTCCCCTGTGACTGCAGGTACCCTGAGATGCAGGTGCGTCTGCGGCAGGAAGTGGACCGGGTGGTGGACCGCAGCCGGCTGCCCTCCATCGAGGACCAGCCCCAGCTGCCCTACGTCATGGCCTTCATCTACGAGGTGTTGCGCTTCACCAGCTTCGTGCCGCTCACCATCCCCCACTCCACCACCACGAACACCTCCATCATGGGCTACACCATACCAAAGAACACCGTGGTCTTCATCAACCAGTGGTCCATCAACCACGACCCGGAGCTGTGGTCCCACCCGGAGACCTTTGAACCCCAGCGCTTCCTGAAGGATGGGGTCCTGAATAAGGACCTGACCAGCAGCGTGCTCATCTTCTCGCTGGGGAAGAGGCGGTGCATCGGAGAGGAGCTGGCCAAGATGCAGCTCTTCCTCTTCACGGCGCTGATCTCCCACCAGTGCCACATCACCGTGGACCCCGCCCGGCCCGTCAAACTGGACTACGACTACGGGCTGACTCTGAAGCCCCACGCCTTCTTCATAGCTGTGACTCTGAGAGAAGATATGACTCTGCTGGAGGCCGCCACCAGGCAGGAACCCACGGGCAAGGCTTATTCAGACTAAATAAATTGGTAACACCATGACACATGTCTGTTAGGCATCTTACACAGAGTTCAAATGTCTTGTAATCTGCTTATAGCATCAGAATCAGAATACCTTATTTACATGGGGGCAAACAGGGATTTGCAACAGTTGCTCCATTTTTGAATAAAATAAAAATAAAATGATTTATACAAACAAGAGACATTAAAGTAAAAACTTGAGAATAAAATGTAATCAAAATACTTATAAAAATATAAGAAGTTTAAGTAAAAATGAGCGAGAAACAGATACAAATACAAAATACAAATAAAGATGTATCAGTACAAATTCTAACACGATAAAGCATTTAATGAATAACAAGGAAGACATACGATTACACAGTGCTATAAGCAGATCATAACGCATAATGTTTCCAATGCCTTATAGACATGGGTGTCATAGAAAGTGTTACCAAATAAATACAAATGTAAAACATATGAAGGCTGAAACACAAAAGACTTATGAACCATAGCTCATGTTTCTGGGCTGAAACCATAAGCTGAAATCTCAGGCTTTATTTTTATCACTGACTCATCTAAAGTATTATTGTGCCGGGGGGGGGGGGGGGGGATTCTGATGGTCTGATTGGTGTGCAAGGACACAAGGACAGAAGTGTGTACACGCCACAAGCAGCCATTTACAATCTGCGTTAGCACTTAGCAATTAGCATCTCTGTTTGATTCGTGGAGGTGGAGGACTGCAGTCAGCTGGAGATCAGCCTTAAAGACCTCAGACCTGTCATCACCGCGGTAACAGGAGACATCAGCTGCCCCGACACACGCTCTGTGACTTTAGTGTGAAAGGATTGAATGGCAGAAATCATCATGGTGTTGTCATACGTTTTTGCTTTCGTATTAAAAGCAAATGTGCACCTCATGTAAATTTGGCCGACATCTTAAAGTTCTTCCTCTTTCAAACCAGCTCTGATTTGAAGGTAAACCATCGACACTGGAGATTTCTAACTGACACATTATATGCTACCTAAGATGAATGAGTCCTTTAACTTAAAGACAGTACTAACACAGTTTTTCATATGCAGTTTTAAAGCTTAGTTACTCAGGAATAACGCCTTTGAATTGTCAATACTATTTGAATTATGAGTGATCTGATATATTCTGCTGTAGATGCAAAGTATACAAAGATTAATATTAGCAGTGTTATTATCTTTGTCTTTTTTTTCTTCTATTTTTGTTACTCACAAAGGTTTTCATTTAAGTTGTGTAGAACGCTGCTGTATGGAAAACCCCCGTCATTTATTCTCCATGCATAAGATGCCAGTAACCTTCATGTAAATCATCCTCCTGCTGTATAAATGACAGTTGGGGCTAATTATTATTATTATTATTATCCTCTATTTGCTGCTCAGCATGATAGACTACTGCACTGATTGTAAACGGTGGACACAAGCATTGTTTTTGGAAAAATGTCTTTTATTTTTGAAATAGCAGACGGAATTAAGCAAGTGTTAAAGTCCTGACTGTTGTACGCCTTAAAATAATAAAATAATATAAAAAATCACCAATAAATCATAAC